ATAATATGTACCCCTTAATAGAAAAGAAAAGGAAACAACACAGAATACCCAAATAATAGAGAGAGCCAAGAACACACACAATACCCCATGGCTCTAGTTTATATATTAAATTACTGCACACACACACATCTGTGTGTACTAGCAAGAGATGTATACCGTCAGTGAGCAGAACAGCCCAGTTTTCTGCACACACAACGGGAAAAGCAAGTAATGGAATTATTAGAAAAAAGAACACACACACACACACAAAAGTAAAAGAAAAGAAGAGAAAAAGAAATTCGAATTAAAAGAGAAAGCTGGTGAACCGATTATTAAATTCATTCACCCATGGGGGATGTACGCAATTATGATTATGTTAGTATTACCATTATTATTCTTTGTCCTCAGATGAGACCCGCCGTTCAGTACATGGTAGCGGAGAACAACACAGCCACAATTAGTAGTGGTGCTGCAGTGCGCATCCACACAGAACTGCTGATACTGCTGCTGCTGTCTGCATCACCCTTCTTGTTGTTTGTGAGTTCAGGAGGAAGTGTTGTTGTTGTGGTGGTAGTGGTTGAAGTTGATTCCTCATTATTGCTGGTTGTATTGGGAGTGTCAGTGTTTATGTTCTCTGATGTATTCGTTGTTGTGTCTCGAGACTCAGTACTGTTGGCCTCAATATTCTTAATATCGTCTTGGCTTGAGTTAACAGGAGTGCCATCAGATGCAGTTGTATCTTCGCTTGTCTGTGGTGAAGGTGTGGTAGAAGAGGCCTTTGAATCTTCAGTTTCCTTGGAGACTGTATTTGTGTTGGATACGCCGTTGGAATCAGATGGAATGTCTCTTTCCTGAGTGTTCTGCGACTCGTTGGGTTCCTGTTCTTGTGGCAAAGCACGGTTAATTTCTCCTTGTGGTACTTCTGATTTTGGATCTGTGACCTGTGTCAGTCTGGGCTGAGCATCACCGGTGGGCGTTAACTTCTCAGGAGCATCAGGTTTCGCTTTATCTGTCTTCATTGTACCTTCAGTGATTTCCTCCTGCCGTTGATGTTCTTGACTTGTTTGCCTTAAATCCTGTTCTTGTGAAAGAACAGCCGCTTGTTCAGGTTCTCCTTCAATCTTCTGTGCTTGAGGAGGAGTGAGAGTATTACTGTCTCCATGGTTTACCTCTACAATACGAAGAGTACCTGAGAGAGGATCACGAACAACAGGTTCTGTGTCGCCAGCAACAGAAGAAGCACCTCTAGAAGGAGGACTCGAGTTAGCAGACACGCATACAGAAGCAACAATTACTAGAAAAACCAGTAAACAAAAGATTGGTCGCACAAGCATCACAGCAAGAGTTGTTTTTAATTGCACAATTTCACTTGGCTAGAAAAAGATGGATAGAACACAGCAAATCCGTAAAACGATCCAGTACATCAAACAAAAAGGAGAGAAACACATAGAGAATAGATGCAGTGTACAAATACTCACAGTGAGAGAGAGAGAGAATCAGTAACTGCACAGTAAAGCAAGAAAAAAAGAATATCCCGCTTGTAATGATAATTTGTACTCCTTAATAGAAAAAGAAAGAGAACACAATACCCAAATAAGAGAGAGAGCCAAACACATACACAATACCCCATGGCTCTAGTTTATGTATATTAAATTACTCCACACACACATCTGTGTGTACTAGCAAGAGATGTATACCGTCAGTGAGCAGAACAGCCCAGTGTTCTGCAAACACACAACGGAAAAAGCAAGTAATGGAATTATTAGAAAAAGAACACAAAAACACAAAAAAGCAAAAGAAAAAGAAAAGAAATTCCAATTAAAAAGAGAAAGCTGGTAAACAGATTATTAATTTATTCACCCATGAGGTATGTACGCAATTATGGTTATGTTAGTTTAACCATTATTATTATTTGTCCTCAAGTGAGTCCCACCGTTCAGTACACGGTAACGGAGAACAACATAGCCACAATCAGCAGCGGTGCTGCAGTGCGCATCCACACAGGACTAACACTGCTGTCAACATTGGCCTTGTTCTGCATATTAGAGGCAATATTGCTGATCTCTGCGTTGGAAACAGGTGCAGGAGATGGAGCGGTACTTGGTGCTTCAGTGGTAGTGTTCTCGGTGCTCGCTGGTGTAATGGCATCACTTCCTTCAGAGCCTGATGTAGCAGCATCACCCGCCTCAGCAGGGGCGTCGTGTGGGGTATTAGACCCCTTGATAACACCACTTTCTGTGTTGTTTTCAGACTGAGTTTGCGGTTGGTCGTGATTGGAATTAACCTCTCCGGCTGTGCTTATGGCTGTAGCCGTTGATAATGTTGTTCTTGCTTCTGACGCTGCTTCTGGTGAGCTGCTTGAGTCCGCAGAAACTGTTGGTGAGCGTTTTGTACCTTCAGGATGAGGTAGATCTTCTTGCACTTCAGAGGACGCTGATAAGTGTCCCAATTCTTTCTCCTCTACAAGATTAGGTTCCTTCTGCGATAACGTGTGCATGTTTTCCCCTGGTTGCTGACGATGTTGTACTTCTACTTCTTGTTCTTGTTGTTCAGGTATAACTCCGTCTTCTTCTCTGGACAAATTTGCCTTTACTTCCTGAGGAATTCTCCCCTCTAACTGTTCGTTTAGTTGGTGACTTTCTGATTCACTCTCATTCTTCTGTTTTGTACCTTCCGTCTTTTTGTCACCAGGTTTGCCTTTGGTCGAATCTTTCCCTGTTTCCTTTAGCCAACCGGCCACAGAAACATCCCAACTACTCCAATGCGCCATCACCGCCTTTGGCTGTCCAGCAGTAGTAGTAGTAGCAGTTGTTGTTGTTGCTGCTGCTCTTGCGGTACGCTGGCGGCAGAGGTCTGCGTACTTCCCACATGCAGACACACGGCTGCCCGCACCGCATGTAAGCCACTCGCTCTCAGCAGCGGGGCGTACACGCAGCGCACCGCCGGCCCCGCACGACACCTCCACAGCCCCACGGGATACACCACGGCCACTGGGACTGTCATTATCAACAGCAGCAGCAGCCGCCATGGTATACCCGCAGGCGCAGCACAGCACAACGGCCAACACACACATCACACGGCGCATCATCATCATCATCATGAGAGAGAGACAAGGGTTTGTTTCCCGTAAAAACACTGATCTAGAAAGAAAGACAATCAAAAAGTAAAAAAAAAATAACTGAAGTATCAAACATGTTAGGACACACAAATCAATTATCACTATGGAAACTCACATCGTGAAAAGAAAAAACTACCAGTTAAAGAATGCAATACAGCGCAATAACCTCAGTAAGAGTAAAAAACAAAAAAAAGCCCACATTCACAAATATCTCAAAAAAAGCTCAACGCACCAGCAAAATCAGCAAGCAAAGAAACAGATATTAACCATTAGCCCAATTTACCCAATAAACACAGAAATACAACAACTATTGGTATAAGTCTATATGTGTGTATACAAACGCAATTATAAATATAAATTCATCTGTTATTATTATTTACTTTTCCCACTGCAAAAAACAGTTCATCATTATCATCACAGTGCAAGCCCAGGTGCACACACACACAGAGAGAGTCTCCAAGAACACACACACACACACAATGGAGTAGCAATAATAATTATTATAGGATAAACACAGAGAGAGCAAAAACACACA